CTCCCCGCCCCCCCCCCCCCTCCGCCCCCGGCCCCTCGGCAGGCCCCGCCTTCATGACGTCACCGAGCCCAGGGCCGATTGGCCGACTGCGCCGTCGTTCCCGACACTTCCTCCCCGGCCGCCGCCGCCAACTTAAACTTTGGAGGGGCAAAGAGCCACCGGCAAGGGGCGACCCTTTCTCCACACGCCCCCCTATCCCGCCGCGGGTAACGCCCCCTTCCCGGAGGCCCCGATCCGAACTTTTCTCTAACTTCCGCGATCCGTGAGAGTCCCTCCTTCCCACCCGGCCCTGGGGACCCCTCTGCTCATCCCTGGACAGGTGGGATCTCTGGGATCCACTCGATCCCCGACTCCGAGACTTCTGCCTTTTACCCTCAAGGTTTAGTGAATCCCTCGGGCTCCTGTCAGAGGATTCCTCTCAGAGCCACTAGATCCTGGGATTCCCCCTCTTGTTTCTCGATCTCTCTCCTCTCCAAGGAGCCTTTGGATCGCGGGCTCTCCTGCTCTCTGTGACCCCAATCTACTAGACTTTCTTCTCTGACTTCTTGGAATCCCTCAACACTCGGTCCCCCGTACCGCTGCCTTTCTCCTTTCTGATCTGTGATCACTTGATTTGGGCGTCTGATCCACTGGAGTCTTTTTCTCTAATTTCCCAGGATCCCGCCATTCGCAGGTCCTTTCAACCTGACAGATTTCTTTTCTTGGATCCCCGCGCTTCCATCACCAGCTCACGAGATCTCTTGGATTTGAGACCCGGGCTTCCCCCAACCGGATCCCGGGTGGGCGCCGGGAGGCGGACCCCGGGCCTCCCCCCATGGCCGCCGCCCCCGCCTATCCCGCCGGGCTCCCTGGCTCTCCCGGGCCAGGGTCTCCTCCTCCCGGCAGCTCTGAGCTGCAGTCCCCGCCGCCGCTGCTTCCCCAGGTCCCGGCTCCGGGCCCCGGGGTCTCCTTCCACATCCAGATCGGGCTGACCCGCGAGTTCGTGCTGCTGCCCGCCGCCTCGGAGCTGGCGCATGTGAAGCAGCTGGCCTGTTCCATCGTGGACCAAAAGGTGAGGGCGCAGGGCTCCCGGAGTCCGGCCTGGGAGGGGCCCCCTGGAGGGGAGCGCTGGGGCCTGGGGCCTGGCGTAGGGGAAGGCAAGGGGGAGGGGGTGTCTGAGCCCTGAGCGGCTGAGGGGTGGGGTGGGGCACTGGCCTCCAAACGCCTCCTCACCCTACCACCCGCCTCCTCACCCTACCACCCGTTTGAGAAAGGGCTGGGCAAGGAGGGGTGGAGTACCCCAAAGGCCTCTCCAAACTGCATGTCCCTGCATGTTGTTGTTTTCTGCAGCCAACAGGGAGGAAGGGAGCAATCGCCAGGTGTGGAGTGGAGAGGAAGGGGCAGGTGGGGGAGTAGATGTGGAGGACCTCCCCATTCAGTCGCATCCCTGGCCTCCCATTTGGTGAAAACAGTAGAAACTGGAGCCGGCTGGCCATGGCGATCGGGTGACATGTGGGTGTGGGTGCCGGGTGCCGGTGCCTGCTAGCTGCTGGGGCAGATGAGGTCTGGGAGCCCAGTCCCTGCCCTGCCAGGCCTGAGAAGTGCATGGAGGGGCAGGAACCCTTTTCTGCATCCCCAGAGGCTTTGGGGACAGAGTCCCTTCTCCTAATCACATTGCGACCGCCTGCCCATTAGCTTTGGACACCGGGGTCATGGTTTAGGGATCCTCAGAGTTCAATGCCTGGTCCCTGGGGTGCTAAAAGTTAGAACGGCGGGCTTCTGGGTTGTCAGAGTACCAGAGAAAATGTTCAAATGTTAGACTCATAGATTGTGGGAATATGCTTCGTGGGGCCCGGAATGCCTCCGGCGGTATGCTCGCACGTCACACTTCTGGTAAATGCTGGAGCTTTAGATTCCTAGGTTGTTGGGATCCCAGAGTATTCAAATACTAGAACTTGGGGCTGCGGGGCTGCGGGGCTGCTGCCATCCTTAAATACTAAGATATGCAACTGTTAGACTATTAGCTGTACACTCCCAGAATATTAAAACGTTAATTACTGCTAATCTAGGTTGTCAAACTCCTAAAGCATTTCATGATACTTTGTTGGAATCCAGACTCTAGAATTCTATAATGTGAGAATTCTTTTGACTCTTGGAAATGAACTCTTTGGGCTTCAGAGAAACAGAACTAGCATCCTCCCCAGCCCCTCCCCGCTTTTTACAGACCCTAGTGGTTTAGAAAAAGACTTCCCAAGGGGTCAGGACCAAGGCCATCCTGGTTTTCTGTGGGGCGCTCAGATAGGGCTTGGTCTACCAAACCCACAGATCTAGCAGGCCTAGCTCCCACCCTCAGCTCTGCCTGCTCCTTGGGCTCTGCCTGCTCCTTGGGCTGCCGGACTTGGGCGGGAGCTTGGGCGGGAGCGAGCAGGTTGTCTCCTGGCTGAGATTCTTTTGCCAGTGCTCAGATCCCTAGCCTGAGTTTCCCCTTTCCCCGGTTTGTTTTCTGCCTGCCTGCCAGGTATGTGAGGGGCCCCTGCCTTCCTTCCTGTGCCCCACCTGGGCAGTTTCACTTTCTGTTCTTACCAGGTTTCATTTCCTGCACCCCCATTCCAAGCTAGGGTCCTGGACACCTAGGCCCTTTAAGCATTGGGTAGGGGGCCGCCTCCCTACCTCTAGTTCCCTTGATTCCTAACCTCACTCCCTTCCCAGGAGCCCTAAAAGTCTCCTTCCAGCTCTCCCCACCCCGGGCCGGGCCAGGAGCCAGGTAACAAGGACAATAGATCCAGGAAGGAAACTGGTGAGGGCTGGGGTGGGATGGTGGCTGGGGAAGGGTTGCTCAGTCAGCCCCTCAGCTCCCGGCAACACACAGGTCCGGAAAATTCTAGGTGTCGGTGCTTGGGAGCCACTCTCCCTCCCACCCCAGCCGGCTGGGCCACTCCAGCCGCCGAACTCACGCTGGCGCTCCCGCCCAGCACACCTGGGGCCCTGGCATCCTGCCCAGCTGGGGTTGGGAGGGGGCGGGCAGGAAGCCGGGGGCCGCGGGGTCTCTGAGTTTCCGGGGGAAACAGCCGGCCCTGCCGGGGGACTGTTCCAGTCTGCTTCGGAAGACAGCGCTGAGCTTTTCCGTCGCCACCTCTCTCCCACCCCCTAGTTCCCCGAGTGTGGCTTCTATGGCCTTTATGACAAGATCCTGCTCTTCAAACATGACCCCATGTCCGCCAACCTGCTGCAGCTGGTGCGCTCGGCCGGAGACATCCAGGAGGGCGACCTGGTGGAGGTGGTGCTGTCGGGTGAGAGGCCATGGCCCACCTGGGGGCGGAGTCTCGGACAAGGCGGGGCATCTGGAGGAAGCTGGGAGGGGGATTGGACTCAGAAATGCGCTAATCAGGGTAGAGGCCAGGGGTTCAAGGCCAGTGGTGCTTGTCCTGCACTGCAAATTAAAATGATCGGGGAGCCCTCACAGCCTGCGGTCCCAGTGGATAAACACACTGAGGAGCAGTCTCACTGTGGAGGTCACAGGCGCCGAATCCCGATTCAGTGTGAGCGTCCCCAGCGGCACGGGTGACTCACAGAATGCTGGGGCGGCCGGGACGGCCAGGTCGAAGGCTGCGTGCTGGATGACATGGCATTTATGAAGCGCAAAGACAGATGCAATTGCTCCGCGGTGTTAGAAAGCAGGACAGCAGGTGCCCGTGGGGAAGATGGAGACCGGGTGAGGGGTGCAAGGGGGCTTTGGGAAGACTGCTTTACGTGTCCGTGTATTGATCGGAATGCTGTCGCCCGGTTCACATTGTAAAAATTCTCTAGCCGGGGGACCAGCAGTTGGCGTAATAGCTATGTCGCTGGGCTCCCATGTAGTCGACTGTGGTTCGAGTGTCGGACCAGTGGCTTAAACTCACGCTGCATGCGTGTGCGTGCGTGCCCAAGATCCCGAGAGGAGAATGGAGGAGAAGGGATTGCGGCGTGGCCATGCCTCCTGGGGGGTGATTTCTCACTTTCTGCCTCTCTGTCTCTCTGTTTTTCTCACAAGCACACACACCCTATAGCAATATCCTCTCCAAAAAATTTCACTAGCTGTGCCTCTGTGCTTGCTTGCGCGCGCTCTCTCCCTCCGTCTTTTATTTTTAGTTTTGCTATAGGCCGCGTGCACTCTCTGGAGAGAGAAAGAGAAAGTGGGAAATCAGCTCCCAGCATCGGCCATGCCACAATCCCTTCTCCTCCATTCTCTTCTTGGGAATTTGGGCACGCACACACATGTGCACCTGGCATGTTTTTCAAGCCACTGCATCCAGGACTAAAGTCTGCCACGTGGGGTCAGTTGCCGTAGCCACCACACCACCGGCTTGCCTGACACTTTTCTAGGCATATAAAGCTGAAAATATTCTGGTGGGCCGGCCAGCAGCGCAGGGCTTACGTGCTGTGCATTATAAGAGTCGGGTGTCACGTGGCCGACCACTGGGACTTGAAAAACAGGAATGGTGTGGGAAAGAGGGGTGAAGGAAAAAGGGTTGCGGCGTGACCGTGCCCCGTGGGGGGCGTTCACTCTCTCTCTGGTAAGTACGTGTACCCTCTAGCAATGAGAACTAAACAGAACAAACACTCTGGCGCCCCTGCTTCCTCGACTGGAATGCAAAATCAACTTTTGCAACGCGAGATGAGACCTGCACCGCCATATATACACCATATATGCTTAAGGTTATTCATTTCTCCCACGAGCTAGAGTCACAGAGACAGACAGCAACCCCAGCAGAGTCTTGACGTCATGATCCCCCCTCAGCTTCAGCCGCAGATCGCGGGCACGTGCTCACCCTGGGGGTCACTGAGTGTGAGCCCAGAACCCTCCCATCAGTCAGCCTCCCAGAGATTTAAGCTGTACCACCCTCCGCTTCCCGTGGACATCGGTATGTTTAAAAGTTCCCCAGAGGGAGGCCAGCAGACGGCGTGGTGGTTAAGGTGCTGGACTCCCACATGGCTGACCATGGTTCGAGTTTCAGACCTGACAACTTGCTTTATCACTTTCTCTTTCTCTCTCTGGTCAAATTTAAAATAATAATAATAATAAGAAGAAGAACAAGTAAAATTAAATAAATAATTCTCTTTAAAAAAATAAAAAGCTTCCCAGAGAGCCAGACAGCGGTCCAGCAGTGAAACGTGATGCCTGCAAGGTTAACCCACATGGGAAGATTCCCAGTTCAAGTCCAGAGGCCTCCCTGTGTATGGAGGCATGCATGTGCCCATGATTCTGGGCTGACTGGGGCTGGGGTGCTGTCTCTCTCTCTCGTGTGTACTTAAGGAAGAACTAAATAGGGACCAGCAGTTAGCATAATGGCTGCATCGCTGGGCTTCCACGTAGTCAACCGTGGTTCGAGTCCTGGACCCGGCAGCTTAAACTCACGCCGGGCGCGTGTGCATGTGTGTGCACGCCCACAATCCCGAGAGGAAAATGAAGAAGGGATTGCGGTGTGGCCATCCCCCCTGGGGGGTAATTTCTTGCTTTCTGTCTCTCTGTCTCTCTCTGTCTCTCTGGCAAGTGCACACGCCCTATAGCAAAAACCTCTATTAAAAAAAAAAAGAACTAAATAAATACTTTTTTTGTTTTTTTTAGGTTTTTGCCGTAGGGCCTGTGCTTTCCTCAGAGAGAGACAGAGGGAGTTTGGAAAGTGACAAATAACCCCTGGGGGGACGGCCACGCCTCAGTCCTTTCTCTCCCATTCTCCTCGGCATTTGGGGCACACGGGCGCATGCGTGTGGTGACTTTCAAGCCGCCAGGTCTGGGATTCATTCTGTGGTTGGCCATGTGGGAGGGAGTCCGGCACCTTAACCATCACGCCACCCACTGTCCCCCCGCCTTTTATTTTAAATAAAACCCTCCCCGGGTAATGTGCAGCCAGTATCGTCAGCCGGCCACTCCCCTGTCCCATTTTGTAGGCGAGCACACCCTCAGCCCCTTGGAGTAGCCCATAGCCCCGGTCCTTGACAAGGGGGAGGATCAGCCTTATTTGCCCCTGAACCACCGTGCCACCTGCTGGCTCCTCATCTCCTTCTTAAATAGTTCCACCTTTAAAAAAAAAAGTTTCTGCACCAGCAGGTAGATGGATTCTACTTGGCCAAGTGCACGGTTTGAGTCCTGGGCCTGGAGGCTTGAAAAACAGGCCATGCTGGGACCAGCAGACGCCATAATGGTTACATTGCAAGACTCCCACATGGTCGACTGCAGTTTTTGTTGTTGTTGCTGTTCTTGGTTTTTTGGAGAGGTTTTTTTTTTTTGCTATAAGGTGCATGCGCTTGCCAGAAAGAGAGAAATAGAGAGACAGAAAGCAAGAAATCACGCCACTATCCCTTGTCCTCCATTCTCCTCTCGGGATCTTGGACATGCACACACGCAAGCCTGGTGTGAGTTTAAGCCACCGGGTCTGAGACTCGAACTGCGGTTGACTACATGGGAGTCCAATGACATAGCCGATATGCCAACTGCTGGTCCCCGTTGGCTGCAGTTTGAGTCCCAGATCTTGTGACTTCAAACTCACGCCAGGCGCCTGCAAGCAAGCGTCTCCAAGGTCCCAAGGGGAGAATGGAGGAGAAGGGATTGCAGTGTGGCTATCCCTCCTGGGGAGCGATTTCTTGCTTTCTGTCTTTGTCTCTCCGATGAGTTGAGTTCACATATCCTATAGCAGAAATTTCTCTTAAAAAAAAAAAAAGAAAGAAGTGCCGGCAGGTGGCATGGTGGTTGGGGTGCTGGACTCCTATGTGGTCAACCATGGTTCAAGTCCTGAACCTGGAGGCTTGCTTTCCTACTCTCCCTTTTCTCTCTCCAGTCAAATAAACAAATAATAGTGTTGATAATAAATTAAATAAAATAATTCTCTAAAAAAGAAAAAGAAAAAGAGAAAGAAAGAGAAAAGAAAAGCATGCCAGGCACATTGTGTATTCCCGAATTCCTGACAGGAGAAAGGAGAAGAGATTGAGACATGGCCATCCACCCGGGAGTGATTCTTACGTTTCTCTCTCTCTCTCTCTCTCTGGTGAGCGCACGTGCCATACAGCAAACGTCAATTTTTTTTTCTTTTTTCTTTTTTTTATTTAAGAATTATTTTATTTAACTTTATTTATTTAAAATTGACCAGAGAAGGTCAGAGCAGGTGGCAGGGGGAGTGAGAAAGCAAGCTGCCAGGTTTGGGACTTGAACCATGGTTGGCCATGTGGGAGTCTAGCATCCTTAGCCACCATACCACCTGCCAACCCAAAAATTTATTTCTTCTATGAATAAGAAAAAAGAGAGAGACAGAGACAGAGACAGCACCCCCAACAGGGCCCTCACACTCCTCCAGCCTCGGCCTGCCCATATCTCGGGCAGGTGCAGGCCCAGGGTGCCAGGGAAGTCCTCAGACTTGAGCTGGGAACCCCCACATGTGGGATGCCTCTCAGAGCTGCATGGTTTCCCACTGCACCACCTCCTGGCCCCACCAAATCAATCTCTTTAGCACTGTCCTGGGGCCGGCAGGTGGTGTGGTGGTCGAGGGCACTTGGATTCCCACATGGCCGACCACGGTTTGAGTCCTGGACCTGACGACTCGCTTTCTCACTTTCCCTTTCTCTCTCTCTCTCTCTGTCTCTGGTCAAATTCAAAAAATAAGAACAAGGGAACCAGCAGTTAGCGTAATGGCTATGTCTCTGGACTCACACGTAGTCGACCGCGGTTCGTGTCCCGGACCCGGTGGCTTAAAAAACTCACGCCGGGCGCGTGTGCGTGCGTGCCCAAGATCCCAAGAGGAGAATGGAGGAGAAGGGATTGCAGCGTGACCATCCCCCCTGGGGGGTGATTTCTCGCTTTCTGTCTCTATGTCTCTCTCTGTCTGTCTGGCGAGCGCACGCGCCCTACAGTGAAAATCTCTCCAAAAAAAAAATAATAATAATAAAAATAAGAACAAATGGAATTGAATAAATACATAATACTTTTTTAGAAAAAGAAAAAACACTGTCGTTACTTTCTCTAACAAGCCGGGCTCCCGCCTGCCTCAGGGCCTTTGCTCTTGCTGTTCTCAGAGCCTGAAATGCTCCGCTCACCCCCACCCCCACCCCAGCCTGTCGTCCTCAGAGCATGTGTCAGTGTCTGAAAGGTCCTGGGGATTTTAGGTTTCTTGTCTGCCTCCCCCAAACAAGGTCAGCTTCCAGAGAGCAGGTAAATCTTTCTTGGTCAAAGGTTTCTTCTGAGTGCATGGACGGCATTGGACACGCGGGGCAGAGTCCCCTTTCTGTTGCATCATACCAAGGAAAATAGGTCAGCATTAGCCTGACTTTTCGGCATGGGGACATGAATGACACTGTCCAAAAATGATACCGTTTTCAAATAATAACTAAAATTCACCGAACGCCTGATACGTGCCAGGTGCTATTTTTGGAGCTTCTGTACTTTCGCTCACTGAGCCCTTAAGGAGGAGCCGAAGGAGACGCCGAGGGTGCCGGGCTCGCGCTTCCCGACACCTGCCCGGCTCAGCCTCTGCCCTCCTTCAGGCTGTCCCGTCATGTCAGACACTCAGGGAGGCTGTCTTCGCCTGTTACTGTGTTGCTGACAGAAATACCCCAGACTGGTGATTTATAAAGAAATAGAGGTTTAGGGCCAGCCTGGTAGTGTGGTGACTGAGCCTGGATCCCACATGGCTGACTGTGTGGTTCGAATCCCAGACTAGCCACATGGGACACACATGGGCATGCGTGTGTTCCCGAAATCCCGAAAGGAAGAAGAGATGGAGGAGAAGGGGTTGTGGCATGACTGTCCCCCGTAGGGGTGCGTTCTCACTTTCCCGCTCGCTTTCCCTCTCTCTGTCTCCCAGGAGTGCACACACCCTCTAGCAACAACAGCAAAAAAGAGATATTGAGGTGGGGCCAGTAGGTAGGATGGTGGTTAAGGCACTGGACTCCCGCATGGCCAAACTCAGTTCAAGCCCCAGACCTGGCGGGTTGAGAATCACACCAGGTGCATGCCCAAAATCACAGGAGGAGAATGGATTGTGGCACATGTGCCCTATGACAAAAACATATAGATAGATAGATAGATAGATAGATAGATAGATAGAGATATATAGGTATATAGATATTTAGGTTTATTGACTCACATTCTGGGGACTGGGAAGTTCAGAGGCATCACACAATGCCACCACCCACTAAGGCCAATTCCAGTTCCAATACCTGAACTTTGGGGGACAAGCCACAGTCTGCACTATCACGGGGACTTCCCTGACCACTCACTTACAGGTGCACCTCTCAGGCCTTCTCTCACTTCTTACTTTCCTGGTTTTTTTTTTCCCTCTAAGCACTTACTGACTTCCAA